TGTCAACAAATGGAACGACCGGAGCTGCAAACTATGAATTGGAGACACCAAAATCAACCAAGTACAAAAATTTAAATATCTAGGATTTGTTTTAACAGATGACAGAAAATGCAACACTAAAATCTGAAGGTGTATTGAAATAGTGAATGATGCCTTCTAAAAGTTAAGCAAAGTATTAAGAAAAGAGTAGTGAACTACTGTGTAAAATGAATCCTCCTGTATAGCAGGGAATACTGGATTATCTCCTCACAGATGAAAAAGTGACTTGAGGCAACAGACATATGCTTCTATAGAAGGATGCTGAGAATACTATGGACTAAACATGTGAGTAACAAGGAAGTTTTAAAACAGAGAATGAAGAAAAAAATTTGACAATTACAGGATATACTTAAGGCAAGAGAACAGAAGGAATATTGAATAACCTACCAAACAAGCTTGAGTAAATCAGTGTCAGAACAGTGATAAAACCTAACAAGAGTTATAAAATCTAGGGGTTGTGAACTGCTATTATTAACCAAGTCCTGAAGGGACATGGTACACAGAAGAAGCAGCTGTCTAGCACAAGGCTAAAGATTCTGGGCACACATACATACACACATGTAGTAAGTAACAAAATGGAATCAGCAAAATGTTACTCAAAATGTTCAGAGACCAGAGCATTTCTTCTCTGATGATTTTCATTGTATGATGTCATTGTGATGTTTTACTTTCCTCCACATTTTAAAACATTTTCTATGCTGCTTAACTTCCTGTTCAATTTTCCATAGATACTGGTTTCACAAAGAGTTAGCTAGTTTTTTTTAATTTATTTTCTTTGTTTAGTATTGTTATAACCAGCTTATGGTTGCAAAAGAATGAACAAACAAGGATTGAAATTTCAACAAGTGTGTATTGAACAATTTTCAATATATATATATATAATACTCAATGCCAAAATATTTGTGTGAAAAGGTAACAAAATTATTGATATGTGGTTCTGTACTTGCTGTTGGTAAGGGAAGTGATTAGGTGTAAAGGTGTTGTTAGTAAGGCTGGGAGTTGACAGATTTGTTGGTTGGTTGACTGAGGTCATGGTTGTGATGACAAGAGAGTTTCAGAGAGAGACAGTGAAGCCATTGAGGTGTTAGAAATAACAGTGGTGATGTTGAGAGCCCACTAATCTTGCCAGCTGACATGTCAGCTTCATTCTCTGTGTGAAGAGTTGGATGAGGTCAGGAATCTGGAGTTGGTGCATTTGGTGGGTTAGTGATGCCTATGAGAGGCCTGGAGTGGATTAGTGAAGTTGGGAATCTGACTTAGCTGATACAGAGGGTTTGAATTCGAAGAGTTGGGATGTCATTGTCAGTGTTGATTCATGGTAAGACCTGGTAAGTTGTGTTTGAAGAGTTGGTTGACTGAAGTCATAGTGGTGATGACAAAAGAGGCCTGTAGTTGACCAGTGAAGCTTTGTAGCTGATCTTTCCAATACGAAGGATACAAGTAGAATGTCTCCATACACATTGTGTGGGTGTTTGGAAAAGTGTAGGCATCAAGCAGATATATGTGTCAGTCTAGTTGACATATCATGGTGATGTTGAAAGAGTCCTGGAGTCTGATAGTGAAGCTTGAAGAACCTGCCAGTGTCAACAGCTAGCCTGTCAGCTGGGTTCTGTGTGTGAAGAGTTGGATGAAGTCAGGAATCTGGTTGTCATTATAGTGGATTGACTGAGGTCATGGTGGTGATGATGAGAGCCTACTGTTGTTGACAGCCGGCCTGTCAGCTGAGTTCTGTGTCAGTCATTTATGAGGAGCTTTCATTAAGCAAATGTGGAAACTCCCTGTCTCATCTTTTCTTTTTGGCAATGTTCATGATTGGCTAGCCTATTTTAGATTTTTGTATGGATTTGTTTTGTAGACTGGTTGTTATGCTTGAAGCCCCTGTGCAGACCACAATGCTTTTATTTTGACTTTTGCTTTCTTAGTGCTTACATCTATCCAACATGTTTAGTAAATCAGAAAGAGATCCTAATTTGCAGCAGAGTATAACAGTATTCTCCCTTTCATTTTTTTTTCATGTCTTCTGTTTCTTTCTTCCTTGCATCAATGGGTGTATCATTTTCCTTCTAGGTATTCTTGGAATGATCTCAACACTTTAGTTAACAAAGATATAATAACATTATTTGAATCCTCTGCATTGTTTAGATCATTTATTTATTGACAACAATTTCGACTTTTAGTTTATTACTGAATTCTAAATTTACCCTTTCATTTCTAAGGGCTTAGATGATATACCTAAGTGATTTTCATGATTTATGTTGGTAGAAGCAAGTTATTTTGTTGGCTGATGTCAGTTTAGTTACAAGTAGTTTGTGATTAGGTTCAAAGTAAGAGTTGTATAATCTAGCATCTATCACAAGCTGCTTAATACAATAGTCAGCAATACTGAAGTCAATCTTTTTTGTTATGTTATCTGAGCTTTTCCATGTGATGTTATATTTTGTGGGATGGTCAAATCATGTGTTAAGAATGGTATATTTTTTTAATAAACATTTAACAGTTCTCCATTACTATCTGAGGCTTCTGTTTCAAAGGTTGATGTCTTCTTACCACCAAAGGAGCAGTGGCATTGAAAGATACTTGAGGTAGCAATAAAATCTTCATTAATACATAATTTTCTGGGTTTTTTATATATATACAAATTTTACCTAATCCTGCATAGAATTTCTCTTTTCTTTGTTTGAAACAACATTTTTTTTAGTTGAGACATAAGCTGATATCACTTGAATCTTACAGCTATGAACAACTGTTGCAGCAGCCATCAGTCTTTCTGACTGGGGTACAATATTATCTGTTACAATATCTGATGATTTGTGTTTTACATTTCTAACTCCATATTGTCTTTTATTCTCATAGCCAGTTCAAAATAAATTGCATTTCAAATACACAGTAATGATACTAATTATTTTGAACTGGCCACAAGGAGAAAAGATGGAATTGCAATACACAATTTATTACAACCACATCCAAAACTGTTATGGATATGATCAGATCCCAAAATATCCATAGCAATAATAATTATGAAGCAGGTATATATATATATATATATATATATATATATATATATATATATATATATATATATTATATGCACAATACTTGGTGGAAAGTGCTCAATATCGGTGATATTTCTATGTTTGGTCGGCTCAGACTGAGCCGACTAAGCATAGAAATAACTACAATATGTGAACCAGTAATAAGGAGTGCCAGAGAAAAGCAATGATAACAACAAAGTTGCTATATGAGCTCTGGTAAAAACATGCAATGATAACAGCAAAAATTGCAATATTGCAATATCAGCACTGGTAAAAATGGTTGCTGAAGTCATTAGGTTTATAATACCCAGAAATTCATACCCAGATATCCTCAAGGACACATGGATAAAAGCATTGGTTAGATCCAGTGACAGGACCCAAAGAGTGTGAGTTCAATACCCGGTTAAGGCAGTGGAGAACTTTCAGAGGGAAATTAACAGGAGATAACTGATAACTGACATCCATCAAAACATGACACGTGGAACCTAAACAATCTACCCCAGGGTAGGGTTCAGTTTGACATTCCAACCACTTGAAGTACAACGGCCGAAACATTGTGATAAATATGGCAACCAAGATGAGGACAATAGTCTGAATAATGTAAATAATGTCCATAATACCTCATCTCAGAAATATAGACATGAAGAGCAGCACTATATCGAGTCAAATTTGTTACCTCTTCATCACTGAGGCCTGTTGGTACAGTTGGTATAAAGCTTGTGTCATCTCATAATGGTTTGATTCTCGGTAGTAGACGCAAACTCCCGATGAGTCCCAAATATGGCCTTCCAGTGCTTTCTTGCATTCTGTTAAGGTTTCTTCTAGACTCAATGAATTACTCAATATATATATATATATATATATATATATATATATAAGTATGTACTTATCAAAAAAGAAAGTAATTTACATAGAAAGAGTAAAAAATTCTTGAGTGCCACTATCGAATCTTATCAAAATCTATACCCCGATTTCTTTCCAATCTTACTTTTCCTGAAAGAATTACTACTTTCCCAACCTAACATACGCGACCACAAATATGCTAAAAATCAAAAGAAAATGGTTAAATCTATTACCTCATGTTTTTGAAGATGAACAGTACATATATCTATCCTAAATCATTACAGTCTGATCACAATTTAAAAAAATATTCTTTTATTAAAAAAAATATATATTTCTTGAATATTACTTGCTTACCAGACTTTGAATTATAGCATTTGTGTTCTCCACATGTTTTGACTAAACTTTCAAACCACCTAATGAATATTCATGAATGTTCACAAATTTAAAAGCCTTGATAAACCAATAAAATTCTTGCTTTTGTATATAAACACGTGCAACAAAATAAATCCTACATTTGCCTGAGTCCTCATCAGAGGATGAAATGTGCTGGCTAAGAAAAGTTTTTCTTCTTGTCTTTTTATTCATTTTGTTCCTTTACAGATACACTCTATCTAAAAATAATTTAGATAAAGATATATATATATATATAACATTGCCCACTGCAAAACAAATGTTTGACCAACATTCTTGTTTACCTAAGCACTATTTTTACAATAGAAAATCCAACTGTTGAAAAATTTTATATAGGGAGTATTAAGAATTCTTTTAAGACTAGGTGGTATAAATCTATCCTATCTTTCACCAATAGCACTTATAAAAATAGAACCTCTCTTTCCAAATACTTTTGAATTTAAAAGAGGTTACTAAAACTTCTACACTAAAATGGAAAGTTTAAAAAAAGCTAGAACTTGTAAATCCTTAAATGAACCTTGCTTCTTATGCTTACATAAGAAATGGGAAATTATTAGATTTGATGATAAAAATTCTCTATTAAACAAAAATGAATTAACAGGTAAATTGTAAGCATAGTTTAACTTTCACCTTACAATATGGTTAAACTTTGAACTTGATAGTACTATTTCATATGGTCATAATTAGTAAGTAAATTGAAGTGTACCTTCTATGAAGATTATTTTATTTTGTTTATTTAGATTTAATATAATTATGTATTGCTGTTTGGTTGGCATTATTAACATCTTATATGAATATCACATATTTTTTTATTTTTAAGCACTTAAGTTGTGTTCAGTGGTTTCTTAAAGAAGCCTTTTAATTATCAACTACAAAATTTATGTTACAATTAGCCATATATTTGATTATCTTCCTACCCCTCCCCTTAGCTTCCTATAAAAAATTGAACAATTTATATTTGTTCATAATTATGTTACAAGGTTGGCGCTTACTTATAGTTTGTATCAATTTCTTGTTATGACCTTGTCTAGGATTCTATTTCAGACCACATTTTACCATTATCAAAATACTGCTTTTTTTAATATTAATTTTGAATTTAGCGTAGGTCTGACACCTAATTGATTATTCAGGGTAAACCCACAGGCTTCTTTTTCATTCTGATTTTTTGTTTTCTTGTCTTATCTTCTCTTTCAAAAAAGAGGGAGTATTCTGCTTTTGAAATTAAAAATACTTGGTTACTCACCAGTTATTTACCTTCATCTGAAAAAACACAATTTAGTTCTGAAACATGAAAGCTATTGTGTAGTGGTTTTCAACATGTTTTTGTTTTAATCTACTATAATAAATAATATGAAGCTCTACTCTGTATTGAGCCACTTTCTCAAAATTATGTATATACATATGTATGTATGTATGTATGTATGTATGTATATATATATATATATATATATATATATATATGTATGTATATACATATGTATGTATATATATATATATATATATATATATATATATATAAATGTATGCATATTTATATATATATAAAATGTGTGTATATATATATTAGGTTGGTGCAAAAATAATGTCGTTTTTTGACGTTCAACTTCAAAAGATCATAACTCCTTTCATAATAAACTTTATTAATCGAAATAAGAACCATTAGAATCGATAAATCGAGAAACAAGTTTATTTATCCCATTAGCATAGAAATCCGGAGTTCGGGAAGCGATGAAGTCATTGAAGGCCGATTCGGCATCATCTCGGCTTTTGAAGCATTTTTCGCGCAGGAAGTTGTCGAGATGCTTGAAAAAGTGATAATCGGTGGGTGAGAGGTCCGATGAATATGGCGGATGAGGCAGAGTCTCGTAGCCCAATTCGTTCAGCTTCTGCAGGGTCAGTTGAGCAACATACGGGTGAGCGTTGTCATGGAGGAGAATTGGTCCCTTCATATTGACCAATCTCGGGCACATACGTTGGAGCTTCTGGTGCATTTTGTCAATTTGTCGGCAGTACTTCTCCGCCGTAATTGTTTCGCCCGGATTCAAGAAGCTGTGATGGATGAGACTAGCCGCAGACCACCAAACAGTCACCATAACCTTTTTTTTGTGCAATTTCGGCTTCGGGAAGTGTTGTGGAGCTTCTCCGGCATCCAACCACTGTGCCAAACGTCGCCGGTTGTCGTAGACTAGAGGATCCACTTCTCATCACACTTCACAATCCGCTCAAGAAATGGATCGTTTTTGTTGCGCAGAAGGAGCGTAGAAGACACCTCAAAACAACGATTTTTTTTTATTATCGTTCAATTCATGCGGCACCCATTTATCCAACTTTTTTGACTTTCCTATTTGCTTTAAATGGCGAACGACTGTTGAGTGGTCAACCTCGAGTTCAACAGCAACTTCTCGTGTGGTTTTGCAAGGATCGGCTTCAATTAAGGCTTTCAAATGTTCGTTATCAACCGCAGTCAGCCGGCCGTGACCGTCTTCATCTCCGAGGCTCTCGTCACCATTGCGGAATTTCTTGAACCACCGTTGTGCCACACGTTCGTTAGTGGTTCCTGGGCCAAACGCATCATTGATATCACGAGCTGTCTCGGCAGCTTTTCGCCTAGTTTGAACTGGAACAAGAAAATCGTGCGGATTTGAATTTTGTCCATGCTGTCGAAAAGCCTGCAAAAAAATGAATGAAAAGATTGAGAACGGTAACAAATAACACGATTCGATAGAGCGAAAAAACGCGCTTCAAAAATGATATATAACATGGCTATATATATCAATGAATTAATTCAGAAATCGTATATAAAAGTAACAAATGTGAAAACGACATTATTTTTGCACCAACCTAATATAAAAATATATATATATATATATATATATATATATATATATATATATATATATATTGTAGATTTAAACACAAGTTATCTGAAAAATATCTTATATGAATCTGATAATATTTACTTTTGAAACCAAAACAAATAATTCATGTTTTATTTAGTTGGCCAGATCTGATTGGTCTGTCAATGGTTAATTTAAATATGCAGAATATTTGTTTAAATATCACAATTAACTCATGTACAGTTAAGGTAAGAGTTTTCTTTCAATTTAAATTTTTTTTTCTATGAAAAAAATTAGAATATATTCTTATTACTTTTGAATTAGTTGTGATGTTTCATTTCTTTTACTTATGACCATGTGAAACTAAGTATAAATCTTATGTACTGCATGTTACATAAGATGTAACATGTGTATTTTTTATATGTGGGTGAAATGAACACCCTCAGTTGTTGTAAATGCATTTAATCTAGGAGAAAGGCAAAATCTGGTACAAAACTAAATAGTTGAATAATTAAATAGTCATCTTAATGGTCATCTATCTAGGAGAAGAAACCACTGATAAAAAAACAGGGTTGAAAAATCTTGAACTGGTAAGAAAAGTTTTAGTCAGCCACCCAAGTTATCAACAACTAGAAAATTCACTACAAAATCAAAACTTAAAAATTCTTCAAGTGGAAAATAGGACAAATCAATGTCCTGTCATGATTAAATGATTTCAGTGTGCACTTACTTTTAGAAGAATACAAAAAAGCAAAACCATGTCTGTATGCAAGAGAAGCATCTAAAATATTCAGAATTCTGTAATTCATTTCTCATTTAAAGTTGACACACATCTTGCACACAGACAAATTCAAGGTTTGCTTTCTTGCGTTCTTAATTTTCTATTCCCACCACTGTAACAGAATAAAGTCTGGAATAATTATAGGATTATATTTAAAAGTACTAAGGATCTGCAGTTTCCAATACTTACCTGAAGAAGAAATAAATATATATATATGTGCGTGTGTTTAGATATAGCATATTATAGAGGAATTGGATATGTGTATAATGGCCAGCTACTCATTTACAAGTACACCCATTAGTTAGCGCAGCTAGACAATCCCTGTTGTTGGCATATGCTCAAGCACATTTATGTTCAACATGCACATACCCCCACATGTGGTTTATACTACAACTATGCCAAGCTGACATTAGTTACAGTTTCTGGAAAAGAGCACATAATTTTTCATGATCAGCAGTTTGTACAAGGTCAGTATGCTCAAATGACTCGATCATAATGACTTGTGATTTTGTGCTGTGTTCATTCAGTTTGATTACATTAATTAAAAGTGGCTGATACATTATTCTACAATGATAACGTTAATTTTTACCAAATGGTCTCAAATATTTTTGAGCTAAACTATATATTCTATATATATAAGATGTTTTTTATTTAAGAAAGTGACAGATATTTTAATCTGACTTGTTCGATGACATTTATTTATAAAATTAATTTTTAGTATTTTGAGTAGACACATACACAAACTTTAAATTCTATATATTAGATTTATTTCTTTTATTTTTATTCTCATTTTCATGTTTATTTATTTTTTACTTATTAATTATTTTGCAGCTCATGTCTGATTTGGAATATGAACGTCGTTCTTTGACTGGAACTCTGGATAGTAGTGCCCGGGCAGCAGAACTATACATTCAACTCATGAACCACAGTATGTCTTTTCAGGTAAATAAATATATATATATATATATATATATATATATATATATATATATAGTTGTATATTTAGGCAGCAATCCTTCCTTTATGTATGTTTCATTAAAAACGACAGACAAGGTACTACGGTTAAGCTTTTTACTTAATTTTTCTTGTGTTCTGACAAGAGCTTTCTTTTCTGGACAAAGGGTTTGTAAGAACTGTCCAAATATTTTATATTTCCGAACGCTTTTGGCTATACCTTTAGCCATTATCAAGGATGATTCGATTTTCAGCTTAATTGAGTGAGTGCGTTCTGTGTATGAATTCAAATGCCCCTTAAAGAACTGTGTTCCCGATCAAACTGGACTCATAAATAATTACATCGGTTACACAACCACATGCTTATCCAGACATCTTACGTTACACCTATCTGATCACAGCTCCATTAGAACCCATTTAAACACACACACAGATTTACCTGATTCCATTAGGAACATACTAGTAGAAAACACAAATATATTAACTGCATCCACCTGCAAAAAAAGACTAAAGATAATGGAAGCTTTAATAATAAAAAAGAAAAAGCCAACTCTTAACAATATTAACTATGAACAAAGCCACAATGTGCTAACTGTATTCGGAAATTAAAAACATCCCTACCACACACTAATACATGCATAGAATGCACTCACTCAATTAATCTGAAAATCGAATTGTGTGTGTGTGTGTGTGTGTGTGTGTGTGTGTGTGTGTGCAATCTCCAACAGGATACAAATCTGCATCACCCCTTTGTAGGAGAAACCGTTAGATTGGATGGACTGTACGCTGACTCAACCACAGAGTACGTTGCCAATTAAGCAAGGCCTAATATTGCCATATAAAAACAAATCTTTCCCATTTCATATCAGCTCAGTTTCATATCTGAACATAAACAAAACAATTTCTAAAGAAACAATGGATTTTTTATTTATTAATCCAACCAATTTTATAACTTTTAAAATTATTTTAGTTGATACCCATGTTTGAGTAAATGCTTCATTTATTTTTTAAACAGTTAAGCTGCATTTTCTTTTATGTCACAGGACTCAACACAAATGCAAAAAGGTTTTAGATATTCTAACACAACATTTAGGACATTTTGTTTGCACTTTATCACCTTGTGTTATAATTCACTCCCAAGCTGTTATAATTTTATGTCGTGCTTAGGCAACTCACTGTGACATCTATTAGAAATACACCTGATTGACTTTAATGGACTGACTTTAATCCCCACAAGGCAGGAATGGCACAAGGCCGATTTTTATGTGGGGCAAATTCAAGCCGTAGGTTCATGCATAAATTCCCCATAGATCCCACATACATAGAATCAGATTTGTCTACTTTCCCAGACTAGACTCTGCCCATTGGCATAGCCTCATCTGGGTTCTCTCTGCCCAAAAGCAGAGAGTTAGACAAGTCAACTGCAAGCATAGCAGCAAACTGCTTGACTCCAAAGGACTACCTGGACCCACTTGGAGTTCTTTATTTAATGCGTCTTGCCTAGTTCATTTTTGTTACTGGGGTTGTGTTATTTACTGAAACAACATACCCACTTTTGAGATTTTTTTATTAGTAAATATTTTATTTCTTAGTTTTCACCCACATTGTTTTCTGACAAGTTCACCAATATATTGAACTTTGTATTTCTTTCATTTTGGTTTAGCCCCTAGTTTTTCTGTATGTCTCCTTTTTCTGGTAATCATACTTGTACATTCAACGAATTTTTGTGATGTTGGTACATCAAAAATATCATACAGTACTTGCATAGGTACTTCCTTTCTTGTGGGCCTTTCAACAGTAAATCTTTTCTTTAACTGATTCCAATGCCTTCTGTGATTCCATGTTATTTTTTCTTTACTATATATATCATTTTTCCATTATCTGACCTTATGCCATCTTTCCACATTACTTTTTCATTTTTATACACTGTGAAAAACACTATTTTGGCAATTTTCAAAAATTTTTGCATCCTTTTTGTTATTTGTTCTTACTCTTGTTTGACCTGATAACAACTTGTTGAACATTGTTTTAATTTTTCTTGCAAGCTTTTGCTGGCGACATGTCTGATGGTGCATTGGGATTTGGTGTTATCCAGCATAATCTCAAGAATTTTTGTAGTGCTTCTTTGCTCACTTTTTCATTATTTGCTTTTTTCAAAGCTCTCTTAAAAGTATGCACAGGACATTGAAACAATGTTTTTAGTACAATCAACAAAGTTAATGTCAAGACTGGTCAATACTTAGATGGGTGAAAATTTGGCAATAGCAAGTACTGCAGGATGTGTGGATGGTGTAATAAGGGCTTCACATTGGAAATTGGATAACTAAGCTGCAATTTCATTTGGGTTCATTTTTATTCCCTGATATGTAATTACCATAGGAATAGTATGAATCCACCACTTGCCATCCTTGCTTTGGTAAGAGGTAATTTAATAAAATTCTAAACAAGTTATATGCTTTGTGAGTTTCCTACATAAACATTTTTATAGTTGATAAATAAATAGCTCCTTTAAGAAACTAGTAAATAATTTAAATGCATAGAATCATTTGGTAAATTAATATGCAACTGCTGAATAAAGATTCTTCATGAGATGTTAATAACACTAACCAATTATTGTAAAATGTCAAAAATACCAACCAAATACCAAGATGTTGCTAATACTACCAGGAGATTAATACAAAATTATATTAAATCCAAATTAATCTTACAAATAGAAAGATAAGCCAAATATGGTGTAATGCAGTACAACTAAAATATAAGTAAAAGTATAATAAAATTTCAAAATTTAAGCTGTTAGGTAAAAGGTAAACTATATTTACAATTTACTTTTAATTCACTTCTTTGATTTCATAAGGAATTTTTATTAATCTGATAATTTCCAAATTTTCATGTAAGCACAAAAAACAGGGTTCATATAAAGATCTAAATGTCCTTGGCCATTTTTAAAATTTTTGATTTCACCTTAGGAGTCTTATTATCACCTTTTAAACTCCAAAAATATTTAGAAAGTGATGTATTATTTCTGTAAGTACTATTGGTGAAGGAGAAGATATGTTGACACCATCTAGTCTTGAAAGAATTCTTAGTTCTACTAATATGGAATTTTTCAACCATTGGATTCTCTATTATAGAGATAGTACAAAGATAAACAAGATATTTTGTTAAACATTTGTTTGGCAATGGGCATTGGTCAGAATTCCTACAATTACATTGTCCAGTATCATTAATAATATTTATCTTGGAACATGTATTAAATTGTCCAGGTTATTAAATTGTTTTAAAATTTTATTATTGTGTAACTTTATAATCTTCCCAAGATTATTGCTGCTACCCATCTAGAACTGCAATTAAATTTATAAAGTCTAGTTATCATAGCAAAGATTTCATCTGAACAATAACCATGAAAGTATTTCTACAAAATGCACAGTAAAGCTACATTATAGTGGTGGGAAAGTGATTGAAGACAAGGTGCCAGGTCAGGCTCAATAATATTGCTGATTATTCAGAGTAGAGACAAGATATATGAACATATTTAATTTAATTTTACTTATTACTATAATGCTTTATCTCTTGATATCAAGCACTGTAATTACAATGATTGCTTGCCTCAATAATGCTATCATCTAGAATTATACTGGTTGACTGCTTTTTTGACAAAATTTAATCATTGTTATGACATATATATATATATATATATATATATATATATATATATATATATATTAGTGGATACACATAATATCCCATGTTGATAGCATGACTTGGGGTTTCGTGTGGCTACACAATCTTCAGGTGATGAATACTTACTGATCGTTAAGTGCTGCAAAATTTGCAATCACGGGAGGTCAATTTAAAACTGCGTCTTAAGACTTTTTTCAAATGTTACTGTTGTTTGTAAAATTTAAATTAATTATTAATAATTTATATTAATGAAAGTCTTAAGGTTGAAAGACAGGGAATTAAAAAAATTATTTTTAAAAATTTGAATTTACGTAAATGCGCTATATATCAAGGGTGATTAATACTTTTCTTGCATAAGACACTGTCATTCATGGTAATATAAATAATAGTAGCTTATTAAAGTATCATACTAAAGTAAGGCCTAATCAGATTAACTTAGATCTGAAGATTCTAACTTAATTATAGTTTAGGGCAATACATATAATGCATTTTAAAATTAGCTTTATATTTACAAACTTGGAATTACATATACACACGTAGTAAAATAATCAAGTAGACTCTATAGAATTATATGTGTGTCTATTATAGATATATAAAAATGTGTACTATTAATATTAATGGTTGATACTTATTATATTAATATTCATAAAATCTATTTTAAAATATATTTTAATCAGGCTCAAAGTATTTAAACAGATGTTTACTTTTACATCTACATGTAGAAATCAATTCACTTATTTTGTTCAGTAAACTAGGGTTATTTAAGTGTTTTAAGATAATAAATTTTTCTAAAAGACAAAAGTTACATTGGCCTCCCTTTGCCCAGTAGGATTTAGCTTTCATGATTACGTCCCAGCTAATGGATAAGTTGTTATGATAGCTTTTTAATCACAAAAAATACGTGGAGAGACTTGGTGCAGTTTTTGTATTTAATATTGTTTTGGTGATTGTAAAAACAGAATTTCCAGTTGTTCTCAGCAGGATGAAAGTAGTACTTAACATCATCATCAGAATTCATCCTATATTGCATATATTATGTATATAATATATATGTATATAATCTATATAAAAAAAAAAAAAAACAGAAAATATCTCTGTGTATTTCTGTGTAGATGTGTGTATGCTATTTATGCATGTACACATTTTGTGACAGATTTCAATGAGATTGTACACATATGCAAAAAATTATTAGCTTAGGTCAAGAGAAACTTCAATCACCAGACATATATATATATATATATATATATATATATATGTGTGTGTGTGTGTGTGTATCTGGTGATTCCTATATATAGATATATATATATATAATATGCTATATATATATATATATATATATATATATATATATATATATATTATATGTATATAATATATAGCATATTATATGTATATAATATATAGCATATTATATGTATATAATATATAGCATATTATGTATATATAATATATAGCATATATATATATATTATATAGCATAATATATATATATATAAATATAGTATATTATATATAGAGTATATTACATATTTATATAATATATATATTATATAATATATAGCATAATATATATATAATATATAGCATGTTATATATATAGTATCCAGCATATTATATATATATATATATATATATATATATATATATATATTATATAACATATTATATATATTATATAGCATATATATATATATATATATATATATATATATAGTATATATAGCATATATATATAGTATATATATATTATATATAGTAGTATATAGCATATTATATATAATATATATATATATATATATATATATATATAATATATATATATACATATATATATATATATATATCGCATATCATATATATAGCATATATATATATATATATATATATATATATAATATATATAAATTCAACTATATGGGATATATATGTATATATATATGTGTGTGTGTGTATTATGTACTATATACATATGTTTCAATATATATGTGTTTAAGAGTGAAAATATTAATATTAATATAATAATTTTCTTTTTTTTCTATTTAGCTTCATCTGGAATTTTAAATTTAGAATAATGTAAACTGATGTTTTCATTTTTTTAGTCCCTATTCTATATTGTTTATGTCCTCTGATAAATTTAAATAAACTGTGAAACATGTTAATATTTTTCCTACTCATTCCTTATTTAATCATTCTCTGACTCTGCCATTTTTTTTTAACTTCATATATATTTGTTCTTCCAGTATTTCTGAGATTAAAATTTTGCTCTATTTTCTTTGTTTTTATCATACATCTTTACAGCAAAATGTGCACCCATACCAAGAGTTTACCATTGAACTAGAATCTAAATATTTCTCTGCACCGAAGACTTTGCGGATACCACTTCCTACCAAACAGCCAGGTAAGAATTTCCATTTTGGTGTTTCAGAATTAAAATGAAATCTTATTGTCGATTGGTTTCATTTAGGCTTTACAAAATTCTCTCAATGACTTGATTTTTTTTCAAGTATACATGTGATGTGGGGATGTTCAAAACATCATTGTTTTTTATGCATCCTTAAATGTGGTCTGTAATGTTGGACAAGGAGATATAGAAAGTGGTTTAGAATCAGGGACTGAATGGCACAAAACAAAAGTCTCTGTTAATTTTTGCCTGAAGTAGTATTATAGTACACTGACATGTATTCTTATCTTACTGACAAAATGTTTCAGGACATAAGGCCTTATTGATAAAAAGACTGGTTAAGTTGATTTAGTTACTTGGTAGTTATTAGTTCAGTACAGTTCAGTGAAAGAGATATGGTATATTACAAGGATGATATAGCAAGAAAGAATTAACTAATATGAGATTTTCTCTAGAATAATCAAGAGAATTGGAGATAGTACTGGTAATATTAGACATTTCCTTATAAGAAAATATCTGGTATTTACTGACTGAGTTATAAATTCTTTCTCTTAGACCAGTAACTGTTATCAGTTTTTCTAGTACTGACTGGGCTCCCTTGCCTTTTGTTTGGGGTGGTGTGAAACATCAGCATCTTGATTATGACATTATTCTCACTTCAATTTACATGTGATATCTATTTTAGTATTAGAACAATCTAACCTAGTTTATTGAATAAATGGCTTGGTTCAAAATTCCTGGAAGGTTAACAACAATTAAAATAGGTGCTTGAAGGAAGCTTAAAGGCTACAATAACCAAAACATTGTGACTGTCATAAACTTTCATAACTCCAATTTTTCAGTGAAAATGGACATGATCACCTTGACAGCCACCATTCAAATGACATAAACTGGCTTAATTTTAGGTCAGCTCTTCACATGTGTAGAGCTGGCCTAAAAAAAGAAATCAAAAGGTTATGAAAATATTTTCTGATCGATTGGAAAAAATCCATGCAAATTCAGCTAATAATTTCTGTGTGAGCAAACAACTTCCCTGCTATATAAACCACCATCAATTCAACTTTGGGGCAGAAGACTTCAGCTCATCTGAACTTTTGTGGTCACTTGCTTGTCACTCATCCATTTTGTCCAGGCACTTGTCAATGACACTTATCCAATGAAGCCTAACACCAATAATTGAAGACAGTCACAGGCATCAAGGGTTAAGTTAACAGCAGCAACCACAGCCATTATGTGATACAACTTTTTATTTCTAATATCTGATAAAGCTAATACACATATTTTCATTCTCTACAGCTACAATCCAATACTTACTCCTACATAAATAAATCTTCCTTTTAACATTAACAACACTTTTTCTATTGTCATTTGTTATTTCTCATTTCTTTTCTGTTAGTGTTAATTATAGAGTACCTTTAACATCCCACTACCACTTTTTCTATCAATGTCAATTTTTGTGCAAATCTGTGCAAAAAGCAAATCATAGAACTTATCTAGTTTCATACATATTTTCAGAAAACATCAACTTCTAATGGGTCAATAAACACACAAGCCTTGAGGGAGAGGTGAATTCATACCTTTCCAAAGGGTATTTGTGCATAAGTGAATATTATGAACCCAAGTGGAATTTGAATTCAGCTCTCCAATTAACAATTCCAAGTCATTATCAATTACACCATCTGCACATCCAAGCTTAGAGCACTTGGTATTTCCAAGCACCCATTTAGGTACTGACCAGGCTCAACTGTTGCTTAACTTCAGTAATTGTACAAGAACTAGTGTTTCTACATGATATGGCTGTAAGTCTTAATGAATCCCAAGGTGTTGCAATAACAAAGTACATAAATGAAATGGAGTAAAACCAGTAATAAAATAATACAATAATACAGATAAAAAATGTGTTTCAACATGATATGGCCGATGATATAAAAAATGAAATATCAATAATTAATATCAAATAAGTGTATAATAACAACTTAATTAAACTGTTAATTAAATTAAGTAGAGTGTTGCAGGAGTATGCTGATCATGTTTTAGATCAGAAAACCCGTATCTCCTGGTACATATTTCCCACAACAATAATTACAGACTAGAATGTGAATCTGGGTATTAAAATGACAAAGAGTAACAACAAAATTATATATAATATATATATATATATATATATATATATATATATATATATATATATATATATATGTTGGAATTTTGGGTACTCTGGTGTGTACTAGTGAGCCAGCCAAAATGAGCTGACTCATTTCATAGTTCACCAATAGAAGGGTTAACCAATCAGAAGGCTCAAAATATTCAATGCGACGTGTATAAAGGCGGCCATGTTTTTTCTCGAATATGCACTGCCGGCCTTTGATATCGAAGACTGAAGAATTACGGAACAGCTGCTGGTGGTATTGGCGATATAGTCAGATTCAGTAGATTGTCTGCCTCGTGAGTGTTAATCTTTAACGTTGTTTCATTGAAAAGATTACGTACTGCGCTGTATTCTATAAACATGGTCAACAATATATATATATATATATATATATATGTATATATATATATATAAACAAATTATAATGTATGTAAAGAAAGGTATACATGGACAATAGAAGAATGTTGTGTGTGACAAAACAATGAATATGAAAGAAGAAAACATTTAAACTAGTGAATTGTTTGTGCGTGTGAAGTTATGTTCGAAGGAGTCCTAGAGAATTGTAATAGAAAATGAATAGGAAGGTGCTGAGCTGAGTGCATGCATACATATACCCAGGTGTGAGCTGCATTTCTTCACGTGGTGACCTACATCTTACCATCCCTTGGTGAAATAGTAAAAAGAGAGAGACAGAGAATGTCACTGTCTATTCATAGGCTTAAGGAGCGCCCTCTAGTGACAGATATTTTTTGGGGGAAAAGTAAGTGTGAGTAGCCATGCTTAAATGTAAATAAATTGTAAGAAGCAAATGAATATTGCAGTAAAAATTTTTTAAAATAACAATCACTGTTCCAGGTACAAGCACTGACCCCACCCTACTTAGCTGGGGGAGGGAGGAGATGGATTTATACCTTTCCCAAGGGTATTTGCACATAAATGAATGTAACAAACCCAACTGGAAATCAAACTTTACTCTCAGATTCCTCATTTCAGGCCAGTATCTTTTACACCAGCTTCATATCCACATCACTCATGAGGCTGGAAATGACCTGTAGTGTGTCTTTCAGATTCTTTCTAACTTTTGTGGATATTAGGATTTTCTTCTGAGTTGAATAGTGTCAAAAAATCACCTTCTTGACAAATCAGCCATGGTGAGATGTGAAACCAGGTTTCATGGTGGGAATGCTAAAATTATAACCGTAGTGGAATGGGTAAGGGAAAGAATAAGAAGACACTGACAAAGGTGAGAGAAGGGCAGAGTTACAAGATTATGATAATGTGTCTCCTTCCTTGAGAAACTTCATCAGGGTACGTTTATTTAGATTATTTAGCATTTATAAACTGAAGTAACACGGAGAAAAAATGTATTTTCAATGTTACTTCTGTGTAAAATTATAGGTAACCAAATAAAATTTCCACACTTGCATTGAGTGCCCCAAGATAATGAAACACATTGGAATAAAAAGAAGTTTTCGTTTTAGTTTTATTTTTATTTGTATTGTCTTTAGATATATATTTTATTTATATCTGAATTCTTGCACATAGTATAGTTAGCTGCTCCCATAGAATTCCAAGAGATCCAATTCATAAGAAAGAAATAATCACAGAAACTGAAAGGATTTACTTTACAAATTCCATTGCCTGTTCAAGTGTATCTTTGCACATGTGTTTGTATGTAGGTCTGTTATATTACCTTAAAGCTTAATGAATGAGTACACAAATCAAATTTAGATATAGACTTTTTATGAGCAGTATTCTTTGTGATGTTTCTGTAAACTATTTAAAGGAAACAATGAAAAATATGTCTTTATTTTTTTTTAAGTTAGTTTCTCAGATCAGTTGAGTAGCTTTTCATTTATTAATAATTTACTTTTTCTATTTTTAATTCTCTATTTCAGATGTCGATATTTCTACCCAATGTGTTGAACTTCCTCTTGTGTTTTCAGCAGAATCGCCAGGACATTTCGATTGTCAGGTAACCCCAGATACATATGATAAGATATAATCTTAAGATATGCTATATTTATGGGTAAGACCGTTCAGCAGTGGCGATAGAACATATGTAAATATAAAAGTTGGCACTGAGGTCATCACTAAGTGGCAACAGGCTGTTGAATGCAATCTTCAGGCCATCATGTTTCTTATTAAATAATGGACCTGAAGAGGAGATTATTTCAGTCCAGGAAATTCATATTTTTGTTTTTTTTCCTAACAGCTATTTTGATTTGTGGGGACATTAACTTTTATAGTTGAGAAGACATGAATTTTGGCTAGTGGTATTTTTATAAAGAGAAATGTGGAAATTAGATTTTTGCTAATATGAAAATGTTGACAATATAATAAGCATATATGGGAAGTGGAATATTTAAAGATTTTGTTTTCTACATCGGTCATATAGAAATTATAGTAGGCCTGTCAATCTGTGTATAGATGTTATTGTAGTGGTTGTAAAAAGACACTTGTGTCATGCAAAATAGAAATTTATATAAAATAGTTGGCCTTATTTTAGGAGTTGAGAATGAGGAGCAATTGTGTATATTCTATAAGACTATGTCTAAAGTTTCTTTGACTGGAACATTAGGGAATAACCTTTCAATGTCTAACAAGGATAGGATATCATTATTTGGTTTATTATAGATTGTAATATGTCAAAAATTCACTTGGGGAGTTAATGCTATACTTACAAGAATGTTCTTTGCACTTAATGCAAAAAATGCTCATGTTATGAGGTTTATGTAGAGTGCTTGATAGTTTTCCAGCGATATTGGCTTCACACAAAAAATTGAAAAAAATGAAAAAATCAGGTTTTTCGTACTACTTAAAATAAAAACTTGAATAATTTCCTCATTTTTTATCGGATTTTCTTCAAACATGTCACAAAAACATTTGCCATCATGCAAGAAATAAGATGATATGGTTTTAGTCCTGCTCACTTCCCCAAATATAATGAAAAACCCGAAAAACTGTTCAAAAAGCCCATTTTTTTGGCCATAACACCCTGGATTTTCATCCAATGCTTTCAAAATTTGCCATGTAAATTACGTATGACACACAAATTGTCTTGTGTGAATGTCTGGTTTAGATTATTTCCCTTAAGTAGACAAAATCTGCAACAAACTAGGTCCAAAATCGGCTTTTGCCATTTAGCCAATAGTTTCTTCATATGATTCCATACTAAATTGGCATTTGAACAACCTTTGATGCAAAGATTGTTTGAGAAGGATTATTAAAGTGTCAAAATGGAAAAATTCCTGAAGAACCTCTTATTAAACCAGCTTTACAGTAAACATGCAAAGAAGGAGTAGGTGGGGGTTCAAGCTATGACACTTTATCCTTGTTTTTGTTTGATTATTAGTTTTGTGAACAATGCCGTATTATTTATTATTATTTAGGAAATTTACTGAATATCTAAAACATTGAAACAATTTAACCCCAAGCAACGGCTACACAAGAAGGTTTTATCAATGGAATTCCTTTATTAAGAACAATCAAAAACTTTCAAAGAACATACCATAAAATAGAAGAGCGGAGAATAGCTTAGTATACCAACAGATGATACATGCAAGCATGAATGCAAACAGACATTTCTAAGCAGAGTGTGCAGTTATACAATTGCAATCATTTACACCCAGACAATGCCAGGTACCTTGGCTAGTATGTTATATAGGTAGCTAGTGTAGTACTTACCTACAATTTTGTGGAGTTTGAGGAACTCTACTTCTGAATTGTTAGCCAGAATCAGTTTATTAATCTTTGCCTTGAGGAGGCTGGTGGTGTTTTTGTTTAGGCTTTTGTAAATTTGGCTTTGTTTTTGAGAGCAGAGTCATGTTTTTTTTTTAGTCAAACTTGTTTAAAATAACAAAAGTGTTGGATTTGTCACTTTTCTGAATTATAATTTTTTTGTTATGTTTTAAGTTCCCTGTAGGCTTGCCTCAGTAATTTGATGAGAATTTGGATTTGTCTATTGCAGTTTTATCTAATTTTTATAGCTTCATCTTTGCATAAAGTTCTTAGTCCGGGGGTGAATTTTGGGGACATTGGTGTTGTATAATTTTAGGATTTTATATATAGAATACAAATTTCTGTTTTTCTTATATATCATTATTGAAGAGGAAGACAAGGTGCTAGTTTAGTTCTAGATTGAAAAATTCTGTTTGTTCTTTAGTGAATTGATGGTTGGAGAGATTTATAAAGTTGTTAGAGTAGTTGGCATGATGTATTTTCCCTTTATATAAATTATTCAGCATTTTTTTTTATTATTATTGCGACACAAGCAACTTTTTACAATCAGATACTGAATCACGAATGCAATGGGTGCATGGTTTGTAAAAAGTTCCTTATAATCTATTATTCAATCAATTATTTAAATGCCTTGATATCTCCTTGATGTGTTTCTTGGGAAATTTTTTCCAGCAGTTTTGTAAAATTTCTATGTGATGTTTAATGTTGCTTTTATTTTCTTTGTGTTTGTTAAATCACTGTTTTTTAAGTAGTTGTGACAAATTTTATCTTACATTAAGATAAATTATTTTTTATTGTATTTGTTATTGTAGATATTATTATGGGTTTTGATCTATTTTTGTTTTCTTTTCTTTTCCCCTTCGCCTTTTATATCACGTTAGACTGATTACATCAATAAAACAGTAATTTGTCTGGAGAAGTTCCTTCTTGGAATGAAATGAGTCATTAAGATGCTTTTTTTTTTGATTTTTCTCATTTTTGTCATTCAATTATCCACTAATTGTCTGATTATATATAATCTTTTGAACAGGTGCATAGGTTTATCCTTTATTTACTTTTTACGACTGGGTTTCCAGCTTCTTGTAAAGTTTTCTCATTCTCTTTCATTCCTAGTAACCCCTTGCATCTAATTGGCATTAACACCTTGCTTGGGATGAATTGATTAAAAAAAATGTACGCATAGTCACTGTGGGTTTATCTAAAAATAAATACGCTTAAATTCACCTTCTTCCCTGCCATGCGCCAACGGCTTAGGGGTAAAATCTTTGACTGATGTCAATTCAGCCGGGTTTCAATCCTAGCTTGAGGCAACCAGAAGTCTAGCCACACTGATGAGCTGTGATACAGCAAAACAGTCTCTCTGTGGATGACAATATATATATATATATATATCTTTTGTAATTTGTCTTTCAATAACTTTTGATGGAGGAAGTTTATGATGTTTTTTTGTTTTATAGGTTTTTGGTCGTGTAGTTTGAAATTAGTCTATTTGGGCAATAGTTTTTCATTTATACAAATCTGGTTAAAGACCGATAGAAAGTTCTGTGTTAAGGATTTTTAAAAATTCATTTTTTTTATACCTCTTAATATTTTCTTTTAAATTGTCTCATACCTGAGTACTTTTGCTTTTCAGAAGTCATTATCCAAGAGTTTTGTTTCTCTGCGAAGTTAGTTTCATCATTTTTCAAATATTGCATCATTGTCTTCATATAGCAGTTTGTGTTATTACGCCATTTTTTTTTTATTTACTTATAAAATATATTTAGTATGTTTGTTTCTAAATTTGATAACATTTTATTGACATTATGTTGTTTTTTCTTATATTTAATGCTTCTAGTATTTGTGTTTTTTGTTGCAGTTTATGTGATATAGTATTACTTGTGGTATTTTTTGTGCAATTTAATTGAATAATTATCAGATAAATGACATGTTAATCAGTGTGATAATGAAGGTGTTGTGCAACCAATAGATGTGTTGTTTGAATTATTATTATTAGAGAAATATTCTCCAAATGGACAAGCAAATTCATCAACAACATTGGTTGCATTGAATTTTTTATTATTTTTTTTATTGTATTTTTGGTGGTGATCATGCAGGTGGGGAGTTTATTTTGCTGTAATAAGTTTAAAATTTTTAACAAATCTCTTTTGTTGGTCATTAACCAGACTTGCATAAATGAAAAACTGCTACTCAAATACACCCAACATAAATATGTGTGTGTGTGTGTGTGTGTGTGTGTGTGTGTGTGTGCATGCTACATTGGTAGAGTTATCTTTCCATCGTTTAATAATCAAAGAAGTGTTTATTATTAGATTGAGTTATAAATAATTTCCTTTATTTTGTTTAACAAATTCATTCTTCCAGAAATAAACTGCAATGACATTTTATTCAATTATGTATTCACCATTATTTGCAATGACTTGTTAGCAGTTATTCCACAGGTTTTTGTGTGTAATAGTTTTGGGTGAACTCTTGAATCTGGTTTTCATTAAAGAATATTTTCACCATTCAAGCATTTTGCAGCAATCAAAAGTAATAATAACTGTTTGGTTCCAGAATTATTCCCTATGTCGTTCTCTTTCTATGCTGCCTTGCATTTTTATGGGGGATGCAATATAAAAACAACTCAGAAGCCTATGGAGCATTATTTGACTAATTCAGCTTTAGTGCTGAAAATTTTTATTTTATTATAGTCGATTGTTACAAGCAAAAGGAAAAGATGGTATGTGCATATTTTATTACCAGAGGTTAGAATAGTATTTTTCCTTTAATCTCTAGTGTAATGCCAAGCAAAAACTAAACTATAATAGTGTACTCCAAATTTATTATTAACTAACACATATTAGGATGATACATTCATCATTAAATTTGGTTCCTGAAAACAGAAATTACTGAAAGATTCAACCTGAAACAACCTTACTTTTTCCTTGTTAATGCACTTAATCCAACACTTCTTAACACATCACATTAATTGCATATTATACAGTGAAAACTTGAGATCAAATTCAGCTTATGACTATATCAGGCTATGAACTTATTGATCCTGGTTCAGCTAAGATATTTAAGTCTTCTCTTGTTAAGAGGGCAAATAATGAATGTTTTCAACTTCACCTTCCTAATCTATCTATTTTTCTTTGGACAGATATTATTGAAGTCTCCTGGCGATATCAGACTCTACCAAATTGAATGCACAGCAATTCCAGATTTTAGCAACACCTGTATTGAATTTGAGACACCTGTCTTGCAGAAATGTACCCAGGATATTCCAATTGTATGCTGTTTTTGTTATTATCTTTTATTATTTCCGGCATTTATTTTCATTAATCCATTTTTTTTTTTTTTTTTGAGTTTATCAGCATTGGTATTCCTGTATTGTCTATATTTTTTTTTATTGGAAGAAAGTTTTTTCATTTTGTTTTTAATTGCAGAATACACCTGCATAGTACCCAAATCTGATATTTATTTGGAGGTCCATTAATATTAATAATGAGTCCCCTAGCAAAATTAAGTAAAACTTTTGGCCCTTTCAAAATAAATTCAAGACATATGAAAATTAACAAAATAAAAATAATTTTAAATGTAGGGTTTAAGCAAAACAGTTGAGATAGAAAAAAGAAAAAGTTGTTTGTGAAATTTAAAGTTGAATGATGATGAAAAGTTGTGTGTGAAATGAACATTCAATTCAGAGGGGATTTACATACAGAGTGAGAGAGAGGATTCCATTAAGCTGTCAGTTGTGTCCTTGGTCAGTGGAAGTGAGATAGACAATTGAAGACAGTTCCTTTGTTGTTGCCTGTAGCTGTAATGAAAGTGAATGAATTTTTCATTGCCAACTCCATTTATATTTATTTTAAGAGTCTCTGAGCTTAGGATTTTTTTTAACATCAAAACATAACGATTTGATTGTTTCATTATTTTTCTCTTTATCCTGTGGTATGTTTCTATGTTACGTCCATGAGAAAAAGAATTCAATAAAACTAATTTTCAATATTTACAAAATTGAAGGTATGAATGTTGTAGAGATTTTCCACGCGTAGCTAAGATGTGGCACAAGGCTGAAAGTATGGGGCATCCAGTGAGGATCGAACTCACTTTTCAGTAGTAACTGACCTAGCAAGACAAGCTTGCTAACCATTACACCACACCGAGGTGCCCAGGTATAAATGTTGTAGCCCACACACCTAATGAGGACTGATGAACAAACCAACTAAAACTTTAAATTAACAGTAACAAGAATATGCCAAAGTACATTTATCTGAATACTGTTATATCCTTCTTCTTTTGTGTCCCTTCAATACATAGGTGATCGTGGCTCTCCACTTCCTCCTTATCCTTTGTAGCTCTCAATAAGTTTTGTCTTTTTGCTACTTATCCCAGACCCTGTTCTGTCATCCACTTGCTGAAGCCCACTAGATATGTCGTGCATTGCTTTCCCTTGTCTCTTTTTCCTTCTATTCACCCTGTGAGTTTCAAATTTTCCAAGCCTTATTGTCTCATTGTGTCCCAGAATTTGCAGCTGCCTCTTCCTGATGTTAAGTATAAGTTTCCTTGCTATTTGCTTCCTCTCCAAAACCTCATTGTTGCTCACATACTTGGCTTGGTCCATGGTATCCTTAGCATCCTTCTGTAGAACTATACCTCTGTTGCCTCGAGTCTCTCCTTCATCTTTAAGGAGACCATTCAACATTTGCTGCCATAAAGGAGGACAGATAACATGTAGCAGCTTAGTACTCTATTTGGTTATAAAAAAATAAAATAACAAGTTTTCTATAACTATAAGAAGAGTAATTAACATTGAGAGTTAATGAAGAAAAAACATTAAAAAAGTATGTAAATTAATACAGGGTAAGATGAACAAAAATAAATTAGAGAGATTTAGTAGACACATTACTAGAATATACTCAATTAATTAGTTTCTGACAAAATAAAAACCTCCTTTTATTGAAAATTATTAATATATGTCATCTGAACTTAAAATTTCATTAATTTAGAATTTATATGGAAAGATAAAATTTACACAGAATTTAAAACATCTCTCAAATTATTATTCCACAATGTTTCTGCTTCTAAGCATGTAATCTTAAGTTCAGATGCAACTTGTGGTTAAAATTAGTAGGGATGCTGCTTCAGAAAAGTTTTAGCTCTTATTTTAATATTGTGTAAAATGAAACAGACACATAAAAAGAAAATTTATATATAAACTTGATAAAATCCCAACTGAAATAATTATTTTTTACGTATGTATAAATTCTTACAGTTAAATTAATTCATTTAAAAATTAAATCTATTCTTTGAGTGAAAAGGTAAATAATATTCTCCTTGATCCCTGGATGACACTTGAGGAAATTTTTCTCAATTGAAAGCACTGCAAGTGCATTTAGTCTTTCATGATTCACAGTGCCCCTTATAAAAGTTTTTTTTTTTTTTAATTTATTCTTTTCAGTGTTGAAAAGCAGTGTTCTGACTCTGATGTAGTCATGGGAATTGTCAAGAGGATTTTTATCAGTTTTGTAATTTCACTAAGAACCCCATCAAGATAAATTTCAGCAACTCAATTAGTTTGCAATATCAAGAATATTAGGTCTACAATAGAATACTTTTAGTTCACTATTTTCATTGCTCAGACTGTTGTTCACATCTTCACAGCATTTCAACCATTGTACATTCTGGCCTTCTTCAGCTGAACAAAAAGAGGCATGGCACGTGGAACTAGAACAACCTATCCTGGTGGATGAAATAAAGGATTTAGTTCAAAATTCCAATCACCTGAAGAAGGCTGGAGCATGCAATAGCCAAAACGTTATGAATATGTCAACAAACATAGGTCATTTAATGGCTGCATAGTGATGTCACTTCATACAGTGACCATAGTGGAAGCCAAATTCAGTTCATTTTACAGCAGCAAACCAAAAGGTTGGTTTCTTTTTAAGCTTTTTAAAGGGTCCAGGCTGAAGCTAAATCTTCCTCCTCTGCAGCTTACAAGTCTATAGTGCCATTTCCCTTTGTAAATATTTCTATGCCAAATATAGAAACTCAAGCTTGCAGTCCTCAATTAGGAAAAATGAAGACTCGCTGTTTCCTGTTCATGGAATATGTTCTTGTCTGAGACATAGATGAATCTGGCCCATTTGAATCTGGGGTCCTAAAAATGACTTCTCCAGATACAGGAGTATCTTCATATACGTAAGACCCTTCCTTTTTGTTTCTCTTTACAATCTGCTTTGAAGTGTAGATATATGTGATATATCATTCTCTGCATGGGACATTTGTATATATGTATATATAGTTATTGGTATGTCTTAGTGGTATAAAAGTCTCTCTGAGAACAAAGCATATTTGTCCTTTCGGCAATTTCATTCCATCTGTGAATTACATTGTTATTATATCATGGATATAATAATGCCCATAACAATGGAAGCATAACTAGGAGAATAAATCTTTCTTTCATAGTTCTCTTCCATTACATCATCATTCAGGTAATGTAAAATTCCTGTTGCTTCTGCAATGGTTTGATTTGCCTTTGATGTTGACTGAATTTCAGTAAGGCAGCTTTCTAAAGCTTGCAAAATTTTATGAACTCTCTTGATGGTCCATTTGTTAAAGTTCTACCTTTTAGAGGATGGATGTAGAATGTTGACAGCCATATACTTCTTGAAAATGGATACACATTGTGGTGATATTGAGAAAGATGTTGGAATAGCCAAAATGTTAAAGAAAAATATTCTTGTGTTCCGTGTAATGCTTTCTGCATTTCTCATTATTAAATTAACTTGATATGCATAACAGTGAATGAAATGTGCATTACTATAAACTGCTTTTATTTTTGCTCCAACTCATCCTATTTTCTTTTTCATGACATTTGCACCATCAAATGTCTGAGTTATCTGTTTTTGTCTCTTTCCTTGAAGGATTATGTTTAACTGTTCTAGAATACGTTTTAATTTTTTTATACTAATGAATCCTCAAAAGCACTCAAATATTTCTTCATTCAACACATACCGTAGAACAATGACGATTTGAGTGTGTTCCAAAACATCTTTTGTTTCATCAGCTATGATGGCTAAAAAAGAAGCTTCCCTAATTTCTATCCTCATCTCCTCATGATATATTTGTAGCAGGAGGCCAAGTATCTCATTCTGAATGGTTTTAGAAACATTTTTGAAAACCATACTGGTTTCTAAGTGATTCATCAAAAATGGATCTAATTTAGAGGAAAAATTCCTTAATCCTCTAAATACCCTTGGATTTACTGAATCATCTTTTACATCATGTCCATGTAAGGGATTTACAAAGTTTCCACGAAATAAATTACAGTTTATTATTTTGGATAAAATTTCACAGCTCTTTTTAGCCTACATGTTTGTTCATTGATTTAAAGTCTGTATGTCTCTCTAAGTTTATCCTTAATATTTACATTTCCTAAAAGTGACAGTGAAACCACATTTTCAATATACTTCTTTGAATTTTCACGTTTTTCAGTTTTTACTTTCTTTTTGTTTATATTTCTAAAACCATCTTTTGTCCATGTACAGCACCTCCAAACAGCAAGCACAGGAGGTAAAACAATGCATTTTTCACTTTACAGCCACAGAGTCAAATTTTTCCATTGGTACCATTCAGAATTAAAGATACAAATATAGCTTCTGTTTTTGCTTATTCCTGGCTGAGATATTTGAATATCAGGTGTTGAATGGCCTCTTTTCTTTAATTAGGAAGCTTGTCTCTATCGGTAGTTGCATAATTAAAAGAAAAAGCTTGTAGTTCCAATGAATGATTTATTTTATGGAAATATTTCAACCTCTCTGCTCCAAAGAAAAATATGATATAACAAAAAAAAAAAAATGAAATTTGTAGAGTAAAAATAAAATTCTTTTTTTTTTTTTACACTTCAACTTGCTCTTATATTGTAAATGTCATCAACTTGGTTTGTTTTCCTTGATTTGAATTCTTAAGCATTTCTAGTTTCTTTGCACTGTTTTTACTCAAATTACCAAGTGACCAAGACTAGCAACTGCTAATCTAAATATTTCCATAAAATAAATCATTCGTTGGAACTATAAGTTTTTTTCTTTTAATTTGTCCTTTTTTCTTATGGAAAACTTCTTATGGAGTGTGAAAAGTTAAACTGTTGAGGTTCACTTAGTGTCACAGAACTTATTTCTTGGAGATTCAAGGTCATGGATAAATTATTAATACCTTCTATACAATAAAACGACAAAAAAAACAATGAATTGAACAGAATAGCTAGAAGCATGATAGTCTTCTACAGTTTATCACATTGAAGAATATGGTACACAGTTTTAAAGCTCAACACATGCTGTGTGAAAAATAAACATACCTTATACTCACGCAACAAGATCAGTGCTCTGTGAGTGAGAGTGCTCTCTCTAAGTAGTGTTCAGCTTACTTCCTTGGACATGTGTACATTTTTGAATAAAAATTACCCCTGAAATTTCCTAATTATAAAAAAAAATGTATTTTCATCTGCTTTCACTTTATCTCTTTTTCTTTGTGGATGAGTTGAATAAGTTTATAAGGCCTGATTTTCATCCACTGAACCTTCCACAAATGTGAACAAAAATAGTTTGTGCGATCTATAACTTTGCGAAAATCTTTTACAATGCATAACATTGGCTGGTTGCTGAAATCTCTTTCTTTCTCTCTCCTAAAGTAAAATGTTTTCTTTTACTCACAGTTTACACCTGATTTGGCCAGAAGAAAAGCATTATCTGAAACATGTTAACAACAACAAATATACAAAGAGATTTCAGCATCCAAACAATATTATTTAAGTCTTGTGAGTGATTCACACATGCATACCTGCACACACATACACAATGGTAAAGGTAATATCAATTCAAGTGTGAATTGATGAGACCTTGCTGCCAATCTAGCACGGAACTTAAATTCATAAAGTCTAGGTATCATAGCAAAGAGTTCATCTCAACAATAACCATGAAAGTATTTATAGAAAAGGCATAGTAAAGCTACATTAAAGTGGTGGGAAATTGTTTGAAGACAAGGTGCCAGGTCAGGCCCAATAATATTGCTGATTATTCAGTGTAGAAGCAAGATATGTGAACATATTTAATTTAAATTTACTTATTACTATTAATGCTCTATCTCTTGATAGAAGCACTGTAATTACAATGGTTGCTTGCCTCAATAATGCTATCATCTAGAATTATACTGGTTGACTGCTTTTGTTGGCAAAATTTAATCTTTGTTATGTGGCTATATATATATATATATATATATATATATATATATATATATTTCCCAGAAAGGGATATATTTGTTCGAAGTAGCAAAGTGGTTGTTGACTACTGTAACCGGGTAGGACAATCTAGCAGGTAACCATAATGGACTGGTCCTCGTCGTAGTGGTAGGCAATAGGCATAGGCAATAGGCGAAGACAAAAGGTGTAGACAATAGGCGAAGACAATAGACATAGCCAATAGGGGTCGTCCATGTACCTCCATATCAGTCTGTATTTATGGCTGACACCAGCCAATCATATTACTGTGAGGGGGAACCCAGGTGTATGCATATTCATTACATCAATTAGTGAATACACATAATATCCCATGTTGATAGCACTACTCAGAGTTTCATGTGGTTACACAATCTTCAGGTACTGAATACTTAGTGACCATTAAGCGTTGCGAAATTCACATTCACATGGGGTTGATTTAAAATTATGTCTTAAAACTTGTCCCTTATATTATTGCTGTCTGTAATATTTAAATTATTTATTAATAATTTTTTATTGATGAAAGTCTTACGATCAAAAGATGGGGAATTAAAAATTTTATTTTTCAAAAATTTTAAATTTGCATAAACGTGCTATGCATCTTATTTTGGCATAAAAAACGTCCTTTGTGGTAATGGAAATAACAGGTGATTATTAGAGTATATTACTAAAATAATGCCTATTCGGATAAACTTATTCCTCAAGATGTTAACTTATTTATAAGTTGGCTCTGTGATATCATATTGAGCACTGTATTTATAACACCTGAGTAAAAAATATACGAGGCGGGACCCAAAAGTAACTGGAATTATATCATATAATTTTATTCATTTATTGTTGCATGTTTATATTCTTATTACCTTCAAAATATTCTCCACTTGAAGCAATGCACCGATCCAGATGTGTTTTCCACTGTCCAAAGCAGTCCTGGAACTTCAGTCCTGGAACGTTTTTTAATGACTCAGTTGTTTTTTCTGCATTTTCCTTTGAGGACTTTCCTCATTTTGGGGAACAAAAAAATGTCACAGGGAGTGAGATCGGATGAATAGGAAAGTGGGGTCAGGCCATTCTTGGTCAGAAACTGTCATCATGACAATGGGCCAGTGCACACAGCCTTGAGGCTGTGTGCACTGGCGCATTGTCGTGATGCAACCACCACCCTCCACTTAGCCACACATCAGGGTGTTTTTGTCTCACCTTGTCTCACAAATGCTTCAGGACTGGTTAACAGTTTGACCAGGAGGAACAAATTCTTTGTGGAGAATTCATTTCACATCATTTTCAGGTCGTGGTGATATTGGATACTTCCACTGACTTGATGGCTGCTTTCATCTCCAGTGATGACCTTCAAAAAAAGGTCTGGATCAACTTCCAACTGTTATTTCAGTTTATGACAGGCATCCTTTCAGCCATGTTAAAAATAGATAAAAAGGTGTGAAGCACTTCGAAACAAATGCGAACCACTGAGCTGTACGTCTTCCCACGATGACACCAGTTAGCACACTGATGCCCGAGGGTTACCTCAAGTAGCATCTAGCAGTAGAAGCCTGAACTACTAAGGGGATTGTCACACAGAAAACAATTCCTGTTACTTTTGGGTCCCTCCTTGTATGTATATGTGCAAGTATATGTGCATATACATATATTTTTTTATCATATCCTTATCTATATATAATAAATAATATCATTTAAAGAAGTATAAATTCTAATAAGTTTACATCATAAATTAACAACTTTTATTAACTGAAATGACATGAATGGCTTTGGCATAAAATTTTCGACTATTTAAAAGATAACAGTGAACAGAAGCATAAGATGAAAAAGTTCAAGTTTCAAAATCAAATTGTAAAACATTAATAATGATTAAATTTAATAAATTTAATGAGAAATCTTTACTGATCAAGGATCGACAAATAATGCCAAATGATTTCAGGTTTTCATTTAAGCAAACGTGTTAGTTACAAAATCATATATTTAATCAAAAACTGTTCGATTTTCGTTGAAATCATTATTTTGAGCTCCTTCTGACTGCCATTGATACTTAATCTTGACTGAAAAGTTGAAACTATTTTTTATTGGCAGATAAATCCAACAAATCATGCCTGGAATCTGAAGGTAAAGATAGTTGGTGAAGCATTCACAGGGCCAATCAAACTTTTTGTACCAGCCAAGAGCACCATCGATTATCCTGTGACTTACCAACCAACAATGGAGGAAGATACAGAGGTAAAAAAAATTTTCTTTGAAAATTTATGACATTTTGTTGTGAAATTTATTCAGCCCTAACATTTAAATGACCCAGTGTAAACTATATATAATATATATATATATATATATATATATATATATATATATATATATATATATATATATATATATATATATATATATATATATACATATATATAGTGTAAACTATATTTATATTTTTAGATAGATGTACTGATGAAAAATGAAATTGCAATATCCTGAAAGATGGTATTATAATTATGCTATGGAGGAAAGATTTATTCTCTCCATTTGAATTTCTTGTGTTATGAGCATTTTTATATCCATGATATAATAACACCTCACTTCACAGGCATAATGGAATTGCTGAATGGAAAAAGAATGACAAACATGCTTAATTCTCAGAGAGAGTTTTATAATGTTATGTCATACACAAAGTTAGATATATACATGTATACACATGCCCCACACAAAGAAATTATAACATATATGCAAAAACAAATGGGAACCTTAATTTTTATATTTCCCAAAGTAAAAACTGGAGTTATGATGAACCTGGTTAAGCCATGTGGTTTTTGCTTTTTGTAAGGCTTACAACTGTGGGCTAGGAACATACTTGTCTGGGCTCTATATTGCAACTCTTTTCATCACTCTATCCTCTGACATCCTTCACCAGCCGCCACATGATGCTTGTGACTATCTCAGCAAAAGGGAAACAAATATTTTTTGTATCTCTACAGTGTCAACTTGAGTACAGTATGTCCATGTGAGTAGATAAAAAAATATGGGCCATCTTGTGACATAATAGTATTTATACCAGTGCACCATTACTGTTAGAGATTGAGACAGGCTGCAGTAAGGTTCAATTTGGTGATGGTGTCCTGTGCAATTGAGATGCAGATTTGTTTGTTTTGTACAATCTGCCTTATTTTGAGATTGGTCAAATTGGGAACCTTTCAGAAAGCAGAAGATTATTTTGAAGAATTTCTGTGTATATTGGCTATAAATCAATGGTGCTGCTTAGATTTGGGCCATAATGGTCAAAAGAATATTTCTACACAGACAGATCAGGTTCTGGATGGTGACATAGGACAAATGATTGCCAACACATTGTAAATGCAACAACTGCAGACTACACAGCATCCACGGCCCAAATTAGAAAAAATGTGGGTCCATCTGTACCAAATGTTCACTCATACCAAAAACCACATGTCAATGGTTGGTTTATGCAAGAAAATCAGCGGGAGAATTAAATGACACACTTTTTTTTAATGTTTTTGATTGAAACACAATATGTCACCCCTATCTCAGTTATATATATATATATATATATATATATATATATATATATATATATATATATATATATATATATATAAAAAAAAACAGACCACTTTAAGGTACCATTATAATAATTTATTTCACAGAGTCCTTTTAAAGGACGCGGATCATCAGATAACACTTCAAAAATGAAATGAAATGAAATGCAAAATAAAATTAAAATTGATGGGTAGTGTAAGTTTTTTGTAATTTAACAGAGAGTCTAAGAGGATAGTTAAAGAGACATGGTAGAGTATAGGGAGGATTAATTTCATATCTCTCTCAAGTATACTTTACATGGGGGAGGAGTGACCAGACCTTGACCTATATAACTTAACAAGTGATATATAGAAATGGGAGGGAGTAGGGAGAAAAAAAAAAGGAAAAAAAAAAGAAGGAGGAGGGAGGGAAGTAAAAGAAAGAGGCTGTAATTGGGTTTTAGCAATTTATGTAAAGAATAGATTTTAATGCTTGATAGAAATTTAAATGTCTAAAAAAATTTGATGTTTGTATATATATATATATATATATATATATATATATATATATATATATATATATATATATATATATATATAGTGAGGATAATGGGGACAGGGTTTAGGTGAGATAACAAAAAAGACAAAATTCATTAATAGACAGGAAATTGAGGAGAGACTTGATTGTTTATATCTTGAAGGGACACGGCCCATAGAAGAAGAAGAAATGGGAGGAAGGAGAGAATAATCAGTTATATTTTAGAATCAATTGCATTTGAACTGAGTATTAAGAATTTATCAAGTTAGATAGAAATGATTGGCATTTGTTTACTTCTGATACAAGCTTTCAGCATTTGTTGTGCCATCATATATATAGAGAAATGTGACAAAGTGGAAAAGCTTTTCATTGACAATGCATTTTGCCATCATTAGGTAGATAGGTAGACATCTTCATGTCAGAGTAATGACAAATCTATGCGATTTTTTTTTTTATATATTAAAACTGCCTTAATGTCTGTTTGCTCGGTTGGTGTTTTCCATCTGAAAGATTTATTCTTTCATTCCAACTGGACGATACCAACCTAGCAAACAGACATTAATGGTTTTAATATATTAAAAAGAAACACATAAATCTGTCTTTCATTCTGACCTGAAGATGCCTAACAACATCTAATGTTATATTTTATTGAAATGCCATGTAATATTTTATTGAGATGCTTTTTCTAAATCTTCTTAAAATTTAAATACTGATTTTATTTTGTGCAATATTTCTGGATTATAGAATTCATAAGTTTCTATTTTAAATAGATATTATTTAAAGATGCAAATCTTTAAATTAAAAACTGAAATTTTGTATATTTACGATTTCCAGGGTCAGTTGATTCTGTCAGAAGCAGGTGAAAATGATCAAATCGTCTACCTTAAGGGCCATGCTACAGAACCTTTGGCTCTGGGAGAAATCGTTATTGATTCTGAAGTTCGAGGAAAGTAAGTCACAAAAACTTCTGTATTCTTCAAATTTTTGAACAGAATACTATATATTCTCTTATGTAATTTATGATTTTAGAACAAAATCTTAAGGCCCATAATAAAAGATTACCATATATAAAGATAATAGTTTCTTTCTAAGTATTGTTTGGTCTGTTTTTCTTATTCTTTTTATTTTAGCTTCTATATATTTTATATTGTATCTAATAACTTCCTTGTTGTCAGAGGCACAGTGGAGTAATGGATAGTGTCTCCGACTGAGGAATTGGAGAGCTAAGTTCATTACATTCACTTACGTGCTAATACCCTTGAGAAAGGTAAGAATCCATCTCTTCTCCCTTCAGCTATGGGTTGAATAGCAGAAGAGACTTGGTTTGGGTGGCAACTGGTTTAGAAGGAGGAAAACTCTGAATTCAAAACTATAGCCCTGGTGAAGAACATACAATGCAGCTAAGGAAAGGATCATTCACATCAACTCAATGATCTTGACTACAGTTGATTCCTCTCTTTTTTGGTCTATATTAGCATAATCCTGACTGACCAATTCATGCAATTATTTGCATTTGTGTTCTCTTTTTCACAGCAATTAACAAAGAACTTACTTGAAACATTATTCAAGTTCCCTATGTTTTACTAACAACTTACCTTTGCTCTTTTGTTTATAATCATCTTGGGCTTTGCTTCCAGAATTTGGCAAAAGTGAGATGTAGAGCTTATTGCTCACCCACTATTTGACAGAACTCCATTTATATACATAGCAAACTGCCAAATAATGTCAGCTGATTTCTTCCCTGACTCGAGCTCTAACAGCTCAATGGGGATAAAAAACTGGCTTGTCACATTCAATATCTCAAACATCAAACTCCTAACATTCCATCATCACTGAGCTGATTCTACATTTTTACTTATCAATGAACAGGTGTTCTCTCAAGGAAGTGCTTTCTTTGAACACCTGTTGGAACTTAAGCTCACTCGTGACCGCAAAAGGAATTTATATACTATTAATTTCTAAAGATTCTGAGTCAGTTCCTTATATCAATCCAATTATGCTCTACCTTTACAAGAGCTATAGCAGACTGAAAATAGTGTACTGCTAGTATATCTGGGTTGAAGTTGCCCAGTCTTGACAGAGTTAAAAAGTATATATGCGGCATTGTAGGGGATGAATTACAACCTCTTTCCCACAGACGAAACATTGTCAGTCTTTCGTTACTCTATTCCTATTTCCATAGAAAATGTTCTGACGAGCATCTTTCCTTATTACCATCAATTCAAACCCTCACAGCTTGGACATGCCATACCATGTATACACAGTGGTGTGAAGAGGTTTGGTGATGTCTGGGCCGAACTCCTTGATTGCATGCATCTAAGACTCAAGTAGGGGAGGCCTGTAGGGCCTAGTACTGAGAAATGTGAGAAAGGAAGATATTTTAAATATGTAAAAACAGATGAAACATGAAATAAACACTTTATTTGAAATTTCAAAAACTAACTTTTTATTTCAGTCTTTAATTGGATGCTCTCCTGATATGGATGTCTTGGTTCTTCCCCCACCCTCTGCCCCTGCCTTCTGTATGCTACAGTGTATATGGAGTCAAACCATTGTTGTTCCATTCATACTCTATTTGCAAGAAGGAAATTCCATTCAAACAGCTTCTTCCCATGAACCAGTACATTGATTCCTAAGATAATCCATCCTGACCACTATAATCTTAACCTCTTCCAGTCTAGAGATAACCATTATAGTTCCCGCATTTCTTCATAAACTGCATTATAGTTCCCGCATTTCTTCATAAACTGCATTATAGTTCCCGCATTTCTTCATAAACTGCATTATAGTTCCCACATATCTTCATAAACTGCATTATAGTTCCCACATATCTTCATAAACTGCATTATAGTTCCCGCATTTCTTCATAAACTGCATTATAGTTCCCACATTTCTTCATAAACTGCATTATAGTTCCGCATTTCTTCATAAACTGCATTATAGTTCCCATTTCTTCATAAACTGCATTATAGTTTTCTTCATAAACTGCATTATAGTTCCCACATTTCTTCATAAACTGCATTATAGTTCCCACATCTTCATAAACTGCATTATAGTTCCCACATTTCTTCATAAACTGCATTATAGTTCCCACATTTCTTCATTTCTTCATAAACTGCATTATAGTTCTTCCCATTTCTTCATAAACTGCATTATAGTTCCCACATTTCTTCATAAACTGCATTATAGTTCCCACATTTCTTCATAAACTGCATTATAGTTCCCGCATTTCTTCATAAACTGCATTATAGTTCCCATTATTGTTTTCTTCATAAACTGCATTATAGTTCCCGCATTTCTTCATAAACTGCATTATAGTTCCCGCATTTTCTTCTTCATTATAAATCTTCATAAACTGCATTATAGTTCCCACATTTCTTCATAAACTGCATTATAGTTCCACATTTCTTCATAAACTGCATTATAGTTCCCCATTTCTTCATAAACTGCATTATAGTTCCCACATTTCTTCATAAACTGCATTATAGTTCCCAGTTCCGCATTTCTTCATTTCTTCATAAACTGCATTATAGTTCCCATTATATTTCTTCATAAACTGCATTATAGTTCCGCATTTCTTCATAAACTGCATTATAGTTCCATTTTTCTTCATAAACTTCATTATAGTTATTTCTTAGTTCCCGCATATCTTCATAAACTGCATTATAGTTCCCACATTTCTTCATAAACTGCATTATAGTTTTTCCACATTTCTTCATAAACTGCATTATAGTTCCCGCATTTCTTCATAAACTGCATTATAGTTCCCACATATTTTCATAAACTGCATTAACTGCATTTCTTTATAGTTCCTGCATTTCTTCATAAACTGCATTATAGTTCTACATATCTTCATAAACTGCATTATAGTTCCCACATTTCTTCATAAACTGCATTATATTATAAAGTTATAGTTCCACATTTCTTCATAAACTGCATTATAGTTCCTGCATTTCTTCATAACTTGCATTATAGTTCCCACATTTCTTCATAAACTGCATTATAGTTCCCACATTTCTTCATAAACTGCATTATAGTTCCCACATTTCTTCGCATTATAGTTCCCTTCATAAACTGTTCCCATTTCTTCATAAACTGCATTATAGTTCCCACATATCTTCATAAACTGCATTATAGTTCCCACATAGTTCCACATTTCATAAACTGCATTATAGTTCGCATTTCTTCATAAACTGCATTATAGTTCCGCATTTCTTCATAAACTGCATTATAGTTCCGCATTTCTTTCTTCATAAACTGCATTATAGTTCCCGCATTATCTTCATTTCTTCATAAACTGCATTATAGTTCCCACATATCTTCATAAACTGCATTATAGTTCCCACATTTCTTCATAAACTGCATTATAGTTCCACATTTTCTTCATAAACTGCATTATAGTTCCCGCATTTCTTCATAAACTGCATTATAGTTCCACACTGCATTTTCTTCTTAAACTGCATTATAATATTCTTCATAAACTGCATTATAGTTCCCATTTCTTCATAAACTGCATTATAGTTCCCGCATTTCTTCATAAACTGCATTATAGTTCATTTTCATAAACTGCATTAAATTTCTTCATTATAGTTCCTGCATTTCTTCATAAACTGCATTATAGTTCCCACATTTCTTCATTATAAATTTCTTCATTATAGTTCCCAGTTCCTTCATAAAACTGCATTTCTTCATAAACTGCATTATAGTTCCCACATTTCTTCATAAACTGCATTATAGTTCCCACATTTCTTCATAAACTGCATTATAGTTCCCACATATTTTCATAAACTGCATTATAGTTCCCGCATTTCTTCATAAACTGCATTATAGTTCCTGCATTTCTTCATAAACTGCATTATAGTTCCCACATATCTTCATAAACTGCATTATAGTTCCCGCATTAAACTGCATTATAGTTACATTTCTTCATAAACTGCATTATAGTTCTGCATTTCTTCATAAACTGCATTATAGTTCCCATTTCTTCATAAACTGCATTTATAGTTCCCGCATTTCTTCATAAACTGCATTATAGTTCCACATTTCTTGCATTATAGTTCCCATTTCTTCATAAACTGCATTATAGTTCCCACATTTCTTCATAAACTGCATTATAGTTCCCACATTTCTTCATAAACTGCATTATAGTTCCTTCACATTTCATTTCTTAAACTGCATTATAGTTCTGCATTTCTTCATAAACTGCATTATAGTTCCTGCATTTCTTCATAAACTGCATTATAGTTCCCACATTTCTTCATAAACTGCATTATAGCATTATCTTTCCTGCATTATAGTTCTTCATAAACTGCATTATAGTTCCCACATTTCTTCATAAACTGCATTATAGTTCCCATTTCTTCATAAACTGCATTATAGTTCCCCACATTTCTTCATAAACTGCATTATAGTTAAACTGCATTATACATTTCTTCATAAACTGCATTATAGTTCCTGCATTTCTTCATAAACTGCATTATAGTTCCGCATTTCTTCATAAACTGCATTATAGTTCCCTACATTTCTTCATAAACTGCATTATAGTTCCCACATTTCTTCATAAACTGCATTATAGTTCCCACTTTTCTTCATAAACTGCATTATAGTTCCTGCATTTATTTCATCTTGCATTATAGTTTCCATTTCTTCATAAACTGCATTATAGTTCCTGCATTTCTTCATAAACTGCATTATAGTTCCCACATTTCTTCATAAACTAGCATTATAGTTAGTTCACATTTCTTCATAAACTGCATTATAGTTCCCGCATTTCTTCATAAACTGCATTATAGTTTCCCATTTCTTCATAAACTGCATTATAGTTCCCGCATTTCTTCATAAACTGCATTATAGTTCACATTTCTTCATAAACTGCATTATAGTTTCCCCATTTCTTCATTCATAAACTGCATTTTTTCATAAACTGCATTATAGTTCCCGCATTTCTTTA